GCTTCTTCGTGCCCGTGTTCTCGTCCACCTTCCACTCGAGGATCCACCTCATGCGCATGATGTCCTCGGGAGGGGGAGTCACGCCTGGTGGGAGCGTCTCCAGCACCGAAGACACAATGTAGTTGTTCACCTCCGTGGCCTTTGCCTGGCCGAACTTCGCCACCTCGTCCGGGGTCAACGTCCTTTCCGAGATCTCGCGCTTGCCCTTCCGCAGCTGGCTCGCCATGTAGGTACTCATGTGTCGCGTGGCCTGCTTGAGCGGCTTCCCCTCCAGGGGAACTTCAACGGAGACCTCCAGTGACGTGCCCTGACGAGCCCAAAAGGCCCGGGCGTCTGGAGTGGACTTCGCCATGAGGGCCATGTTCTCCTTCATCTGCTCCTCCGCCAGGGCTGCTCGAGACGCTCGGACTTGGTCGGCTGTTCCTCCTGGATGGTATCCTTTCTTGAGTATCTTCTTCCGCACTGGTGGTGTCGAACGGCCCCTTGAGGCCTGGCTTCCTTCTGTGGCTTGTCCTGTGCGGGCCTTCTTCAGTGGAGGGGCTGGTTCAGGTAGTCCCTCCCAGGTCGAGACCTCCATGTCGTCCTCGGTGGGGTCGTGGCCCGTGAAGTCCAGGTATTCGTGCTTCATCGTCTGGTTCATGAACGTGTGGACTGTCCAGGGCGTGTCTTTGCCTCCCATCAGCTCTGCGTAGGCGATCTCCCGTGAGGAGGCCGCCCGGATCTGGCAGAGGTCCACCTTGATGATACGCCCGGCTCGCACAAGCCACACCACGGACCCTGCACGCCCAGGGTGTAGGGCCCGTCCTTCGCCAAGGTCCCCGTCCACTGGCCGCGCCGTCTCTGTGGCCAGGACCCTCGCGAGCCCTTTGAATCGGCCCTTGGCTTCACCCTTCTCTTTCCGGAAGTAGCGCACCCACATGCCTGGCGCCACGGACTTCACCGCCTGATTCTTCGCGTTCTCTGCCCTGCTGATGCGTCGCATGTAGACTTGCCTCAGGTACTCCTGCTCGGCAGCATACATCCTGGCGTAGTTCTCTCCGAACTCCTTGTCGACCCTCTGGGCCTCCACGTAGGGCAGTTCGTCGAAGTCGCTCTCAAAGAAGTGTCCGTCCAGGTCTGGTGCTCGCCCAAGGGCATGTTGAAGGGGTGAGTGTCCTCGAACATCTTCTCGTGAGTTCCCGGCAGCGGTCGCTCTGGCCAGGGCTTCCTCCGTCGTCATCTCGGGGTTCTCCGTCACCAACTTGTCCATGGTCCCCTTGGTGGCCTGGATGGCCTCCTCGGCGAGGGAGATGTGCCAATGGGCCTGGCCAGGTATGGGTTCGTACGCGATGGAGTCGGAATCAAAGTACGCAGCCGCCTGCTTGGACATCCAGGAGCCCTCGGGGTCCACCTTCACCCTCTGTGGCTTGCCGAAGTAGGGCATCCAGCGCTCCTCATAGAACTGCTTGAGGTCGGCCCACACGGGATTCTTGTGCCGGTCCTCGCCAACCATGTGGTACAGTAGCTTGCTGACGCGCACCCGGCAGTTCTCGTCTATGATCAGGGAGATCTTGGACTTAACCTTCGTCTGCGGGTGCTCCCATTCAAATTGGTCCGCCTGGATGTGCTTCCACTTCGGCGGGATGGCTTCTAAGCTGACCGGCGGATGTGTGGGCTTGAACTTGTGCGCCTCTTCGCAAGCGTCACAGTGGAAGTCCTCAGCCACCTGTAGCACCTGTGGGCTGGCGCCCTTCCTCCGAAGTGCGTTCAGCAGGGAGGCCTTCGAGCTGTGACCTGAGCCACGGTGGATTGAGGTGAGCCACCTCATGATCTGCTGGTACTCCTTCGAGCTCAAGTCTGAGTTCATCTTTGTCTCCTCTTGGTTGGCGGCCATCGCCTGGTCGGCCGCCTCCCCGGGCTCCGCCACGCACCTCATGAACTCGTGGTAGTCGGGCGCAGCCTCCTCGGTCATCGCGCGCACAGCTCGTCTGGCAAACTCGTCCGGGTAATAGCTGGTGGCCGCTGTCAGACTGCCTCCTGTGAGCTCCCCATGTCGGTGATCTCCTGGGCACTCCAGGGACATCCGGGCTGCCATCTTTGGAGACGTCGTAGCGATAAGCCACTCCTTCAACAGCGGCAGGCCCTTCCCGTCCTTCACGCCGAGCTGGCAGCCTGCCACCTTCACCACCGTCATGGAGCAGTCCTCCACCATCTTCCTGATCATCGTGTGGCCCCAGCCCTCGCACTTGATGGGCCACTCCCAGTGTACATGCTTGCCCTGAGCCACCTGGTCATACACCAGCTGCACCGCGCCCTTGTACTCCTTGATGGCCTGCAGCCTGCGCTTCCTGGTGGCCTCGGCCCTGATAGGGTTGGAGCCGTTGAAGCCGAGGGTGAGGGTAGACAGGGGGCCGCACCTCGTACTGATCCACAGGTGGTCTGGTTCAGCCTCGTCACGTGCCTCCCGAGCCCTCTGGTTGCCACCGGGTGTCCCCAGCTTGAAACCGTTCCACGCACTGATGCGGCATACAGCGTCCTCGCCGAACTTCTCCGCCATCTTAGTGCTCAGGATGGATGTCGGGCTGCATGCGACCTCCATCAACTTGGTACTGCCGTGGGCCATCAGCGCCTCGTAGTCCTCAAAGTGGCCGTTTTCCTGGATGCACTTGGCAAGCCAGCGCTGCTTCCTGGGGTCCAGCTCCTTCGTGCAGTTCAAACCTCTGCCAGACCACTCGGACTGGAGAACCCACTTGTACGAAGCTCCCGGCGTTGGAACTGGCTGAGCTCGCCTGGCCCTCCAGCTGGCCGAGCCTCTGGTTGAGCTGGTTCAGCGCCGTCAGCATCTGCTCCTGGACCAAACGGTTGGACTCCTTCTCCTCCTTCTGCATCTTGATCGCAGCCTCGAGCTTCTCCTGCTCCTCGATCTCGTCCTCCATGATCGCGTCGACCGTTCTCCTGCGGGATGACCTCGCGCCCCCTCGAGCCTTGTCTGGCTCTCTCGGGACCTCCTTCGGATCCCTGGTCACCCCGGCCTTCTTGTCGATGATCTCCTGCTCGTTGAGCCATGAGGCAAACCGGGCCAGCTCCCAGCTGCTCTCCTGGTTCGCCTCTTTCTGGCACCAGGCTGCGTAGGATGGGTACTGGCTCCGAACCTGCTGGTAGGTCATGGCTCCGTGCTTCCCGAAGCCCATGTAGTCGGTCGGCTCTGGGGTATGCTTCATGAGGATGGCCTTGCGGATCGAGAGCTTGAGTGACGGATTCGTCATGCCCTGTGTCACGTGGGCGCCTACCTCCTCTGCCTTCGCCAAGAGCTGGGACTTCTTCATCGAGCTGAGACCCTTCATGGCCACCTGCACTGGCGTCTCGTCCTTCGGAAACATGTGCTCCTTGAGGACCTGCTTCAGCTCGTCCACGCCCCAGGCCGGACTGCACGGTAGGCCAAGCTCCTGAAGCAAATGCAGCACGTCCGCTTTGTAGAGGCCCTGTACTGCACTGCGAGACGTTGGCATCTGGAGTGGTCGCACCGCACGAGCATGCGATCCTGGCGCAGGTGAGCTGGACCGCTCCGCGGATGATGCTACCCCAGCGCATCTCTTTGCTGACATCGACGGCCGTCGGCCTGGAATATGGAATATATGGAAAATCTGGTGGATCTGGAACTGCGGGTGGCTGGATGCCGTCGGTCGCTGTCGACTCGAGTGAACTTGCCTGGCTCGAGCCCGAACGGCTATGGTACTGCAGCGGGACCCCCTGGTTCACCTGGGATGCCCTGTCCATCTGGAACTGAGACTGGACACTGGGACGGTCGCTGCCTTCAACTGCGGGACCCTTCTGAGGCTGTGGCCAACTGTGGTGATGAATGCTGCGGGCTTGGTCACACGACTGGACTCTGCACGCACCTGCCGAAGCAACTGGGGACGCATCGGTGACAATGCTATGGTCGGATTGAGATGGATGCATGTAGCGCTCCAACTGCTCAGCCCGGTCATCCGAGCTGCTGTCTGGCCCCTGGCACACTGCGGCCGCGGGCTGGCGGTCCCACTCACGCATGCTCTCGCAGATGGTCTTGAAGTTCCGCAGCTGGCTCTGCTTGACGCGCTGCTCCAGCAAGTCGTCGACCAGGCTCAGGTAGTAGTGGCCTCCGTCAGGTGACTCCTCCAGCTGCACGGGGATGTCCGGTGCGAGCCTCACGAACACGGCCACCCCAGTCTCACAGTCCACGACGGCCCCGAGCTTCTTCAGCACCTTCTTGGACACCAGGATTGGGACATCCTTCGAGAAACCGTTGATGGCGATGTCGCCTTCCACGCCCGCGCCCGTGATGCCGAACTTCACCTGTCCGTAGGCGCGCTCATTCTCGCCATTCCCGAAGCTGTAGACTGGCCTGTAGTTCCGGTTCACGTCCAGCAGCCTGGTGTCGCCATACTTCTCCAAGTTCTTGCGGGCCACGATGTCCAGGGCGCGTTCACCACCCATGGCGTCCGTGCACCCTAAGTCGACGATGCCCTTGCCCTCGAGGATGGCCTGGTCCGCAAACATCGCCTCGCACTCCGACTCCCGGGGCTCCTGCTCGGCGACCAGCGAGGCCACGAGGTTGAACTTCAGCTCCTTCCTGCACTCTGCCACCTTCGCGCTCGCGTCTGGCGGGCCTGCTGCTCCAGGCCGTAGACGTGGGTCATGACGGTCCGGGCAGTCCTGAGCCCAGTGGGGTCCTCCACACTTCGCGCACTTCTTCTGCCCCTTGTTTGGTGGCAAGATCTTGCCTTTGCCTCCTACCTGGGGAGGAAGTGGTCGGCGTGATCCCGCTGGGAACCCCTTGCCCGACCCCTTCGGCGCTGGCCGACCTCCCCTGTAGAAGCCTCTGCTCAGCCTGCTGTCTGCCTGAGCTTCACGAGCCTGGCGGAGGGTACGCTGGGCGGTGTGGATCGCCGCGAGCGCCTCCGCCTCCTCCTGCTGAGCCGCCAAGTAGCTCTCGATGTCGTCATCGTTCGCCTCCTCTGGGCCTGGTTCTTCCTCTTGCCACTCGCTGTTCTCCATGTCGGCTGCGAAGCTGCTTGCATCTGGTGCCTCATCTTCGTCAAGCCATGTGCGATCATCTTCTCCGAGCTGGGCCGTGTACGCCTTCGGGAACCGTGAGTGCCCATCACACTCCGCCAGGTCCTCGTCCTCCCAGCTCGAGATCAGCTTCTCCCGGATGGTGTCGACCTCCAGCGAGCCGCCAGTTGCCGTCATGATGGCCGCCCGCTCGCGCGAGTCGAGCCCTGACCGTACGAGCATCAGCCAGCCCAGGACCAGGCTCGGGAATACTTCTGGCAAGCCCCCGAGCTCCTCCTCGGCGTCCGCATCCTGGTCAGCAGCGCTCCAGAGGTGTGAGTCTTCTTTCTCATCGTCTGGCAGGCCGTCCGTGTACTCCCATGTCCATTCGCTACCCTCGAATGGCCAGCCACGTTCGACCTCAACCCAGCGGTATGGTCGCCCTGTCCTCTTCCATGCTGGAGCGACCTGGACCGGGACTGTGTGTCCCAGCGCGCGTGCCAGCGCGCGTCTGAGGTACTGGTACCCTGTCTCGAAGCGGTCCGTCCACTGCTGCATGGGCTCGAGCTTGCGGCGCTTCGTCTTGATCAAGAACGTCTCGAGCTCCTGGCCTACGTCTGGCACGGCTTGTCGAGAGCATCTGCGCTCCAGCCACGCCAGGAGCCTCTCCACGCCATCTGGTCTGGAGAGCCAGCCAGCCTTGCAGCGCTCGACCGCGATCTCGGCCCGGCCCGTGAGCTTCGCCTCTAGCCGCGGGCCGCACAGGTACCGGTCCTCTCTCTTGGTGCCCTCCTGGTACTGGAGGGCTTTCCGCCTGTATGTCCGCCAAGTCTTGGGATCCCCATCCCAGCTTGGAACCTTGCCTCGATGATCCTCGGTCATCGTAGTTCCTCTCCGTGTCAACCACGTGCTCCTGCTACCATGCGAGTCGTCGGCAGAAATTGCCGACGGTATGAATCTCTGATCTTTTGTCTGAACTCCTCAAGTTCGGGCCCTGCTCACAGGGCGTCTAAACTCCCGTGCCTCTGAGCACAAGCGAGGGGGCGCTAGAGCCGAGACGGTAGCAGGAAAAATACACATGTCAAACTACACATTCAATCACAAACTAAACCCAAGCAACAATATGGAATATGGAAACAAATATGAAACATCTGCCACCCTGCTGGGCTCACTCACTCATGCTCAGGCTTGCTCAACCTCGGAATTGCACCTTGGGGCGGGAGGGGGGGTAGTCGAATGCAGCCACCCCCTCGGAGGCCACGATCCTTGTGAGGGGTGGCGAAAAATAGCCTCCCCCCTGGGGATCGCCCAGAACCCGGCCAGGGATCGGCCGGGGTACTTTTCGTCCGGGGGCCCCCAGGGGCCGCCCCGCGCGCGCGAACTAGAAATATTGTTAAGTAGTTACCGGAGATCTTAGCACGCATCTGGCTCGTTGGGCCAGCGAATTAATTAGACGCCTCTTACTATACCCAGACTTACTCACACACAACATTACTTTTTACTTTGACCTACTCATACTCAGACCTACTCCTAGTCAGACTTACTCATGGTGGGACTCACCCACGCCCCGTTCTCGGCCCTTTTGTGGGGATGCCTCAAGCGGTTTGCTTGTTACCTAACAGCGAAGACTGACAGGTTTCTAGTAGGGTCAAAAGAGAGCATCATGACTCCCCAGGGGGGTCTGGGCGGGATCCGGCGATCTGCCGGCGCTCTGCCGCCGCCACCCAAATCGCCTGAGACATCCTCGCAAAATCGCTCTTGGCGCTCCCAGAACTCCATTCCCGGGCCACATTTTGGATGCCCGGAGCCAACTGTAGGCCACTTCGTGCTCTTCGACTTCCCAGAACTCCATTCCCGGGCCACATTTTGGATGCCCGGAGCCAACTGTAGTCCACTTCGTGCTCTTCGACTTCCCAGAACTCCATTCCCGGGCCACATTTTGGATGCCCGGAGCCAACTGTAGGCCACTTCGTGGTCTTCGAGTTCCCAGAACTCCATTCCTGGGCATGATTTTGAATGCCCGGAGCCAACTGTAGGCCACTTCGTGGTCTTCGAGTTCCCAGAACTCTATTCCTGGGCATGATTTTGAATGCCCGGAGCCAACTGTAGGCCACTTCGTGTTCTTCTAGTTCCCAGAACTCCACTCCTGGGCCTCATTTTGAATGCTGAGGCAGGCTGATGCTGCGGCCGAGGCAGGCTGAGGCTGAGGCAGGCTGAGGCTGAGGCCGAGGCTGAAGGCAGACTGAGGCTCAGGCTGAAGCAGGCTGAGGCTGAGGCTGAGGCAGGCTGAGGCTGAGGCTGAGGCAGGCTGATGCTGAGGCAGGCTGAGGCTGAGGCTGATGCAGGCTGAGGCGGAGGCAGGCCGAGGCCGAGGCCGAGGCTGAAGGCAGACTGAGGCTGAGGCTGAAGCAGGCTGAGGCTGAGGCTGAGGCAGGCTGAGGCTGAGGCTGATGCAGGCTGATGCTGAAGCAGGCTGAGGCTGAGGCTGAGGCTGATGCAGGCTGAGGCTGAGGCAGCCTGAGGCTGAGGCCGAGGCTGAAGGCAGACTGAGGCTGAGGCTGAAGCAGGCTGAGGCTGAGGCTGAGGCAGGCTGAGGCTGAGGCTGAGGCTGAGGCAGGCTGATGCTGAGGCAGGCTGAGGCTGAGGCTGATGCAGGCTGAGGCTGAGGCAGGCTGAGGCTGAGGCCGATGCTGAAGGCAGACTGAGGCTGAGGCTGAAGCAGGCTGAGGCTGAGGCTGAGGCAGGCGAGCTGAGCAGAGGCAGGCTGATGCGAGCAGGCCTAGGCTGAGGCTTCAGCTGATGCAGCCTGAGGCTGAGGCAGCTGAGGCTGAGCCGAGCTGAAGGGCATACTGAGGCTGAGGCTGAAGCAGCTGAGGCTGAGCAAGAGGCAGGCTGACTGAGGCTGATCGCAGGCTGAGCTGAGCAGGCTGAGGCTGAGGCCTAAGGCTGATGCAGCTGAGGCGAGGCAGGCTGAGGCCTGAGGCCGTATGGCTGCAGGCAGACTGAGGCTGAGGCTGAGGCTGAAGCAGGCTGAGGCTGAGGCTGAGGCTGAGGCTGAGGCAGTCTGAGGCTGAGGCTGTGACTGCGACTGCCGTTGCCACTGCGACTTTCATCGCGAATGCGACTGCGACTGCGAGAACATCAGAATTCTACAACTGGATTCTCATGTGAATCGTAAGGGGAATGCTTCCAGATATGCTCCTACACATCGCTGTTAGGTTGCTTTGCCGGGATAATTTTCTGTCCCAACGTCCTTGGCTACCAGAGCAGATTGTGAGGATGTCTCAGGCGGGGCGCTGGTTTCAGCTCCCCCTGAGGGGAGCCGCCAGGGGTCATCTCACGGTCCCGTTCGTGGCCGTTTTGTGCATATCCAAAGAGATGGGGTTCTTTTTATTGGCAGACCGCGCCGGAGGAACACAGGAACACCCTCACTTCCTCTGACTCACTCATCACTCAGACTCACTCATCACTCGGACTCAGTCATGACTCAGACTCATCACTCATCACTCAGACTCACTCATCACTCAGACTCACTCGTACTTGTACTCATACATTCACTACACTCACTCAGGTCCACTCATCGGATGACTCACAGACACACTGATGTTGAGGATGTCTCAGGCGATTCGCTCGTCTCAGCACTCTAAGGGGAGCGGCGGGGGGGTATCACACGGGGTCCCGTTCGCGGAATTTTGTGGGGATGTCTCGAGCGGTTTGCTTGTTTTCTGTCCCAGCATCCTTCGCTTTCGGAGCAGATTTGGAGGATGTCTCGAGCGAGGCGCTCATTTCAACACCCCTAAGGGGAGCCGCCAGGGGTGTTTGCACGGGCTCGTTCGCGGCCATTTTGTGGGGATGTCTCAGGCGGTTTGCTTGTTTCTGGGCCCAACATCCTTCGCTTTCGGAGCATATTTGGAGGATGTCTCGAGCGAGGCGCTCATTTTCACTTCCTAGGGGAGCGGCGGGAGGTATTGCACTCGGGCCCCTTTCGCGAGCGCCTCGGGGATGTCCTCAGCGGGTATCCCTGACATTCTGTCCAGCATCGTTTTGTTGCGAAACAGAATTGAGTTGTCTCGACAGGCGCTCACTCGACATCCGAGGGGGTCAATTTTGAGGATGTCTCGATCGTTTGCTTGTTTTTGGGGCCAGGCTCGTGGCGCAGATTCTTCTCAGGATGCCACAGGAGGCTCCAGGAGGCCCCAGGAGACCACATGAGGTCCCAGAAGGCATCAGGAGGCCACAGAAAGACTCAAGAGGCCACAGGATGTCCCAAGAGGCTCCAGGAGGCCCCAGGAAGCTCCAGAAGGCCTCAGGAAACCATAGGAGGCCCCAGGAGGCACCAGGAAGCGCCAAGAGGCCTCGGAAGGCAACAGGAGGCCCCGAGAGGCCCCAGGAGTAGGAGGCCTCAGAAGGCAACAGGAGTGGCTCCAATCCCATGTGTTTTACGTATGCTCCTATCGATTGGGCCTCATCTGGAGCACGATTATTTGATGTTATACGTATGTTTCTATAGATTGTCCTTCTCTTGTGTACACAATCCTAAATGTTTTACTTATTATGTTCCTATATATTGGGCCTCTCCTGGGGCACGAGTCCTTGGTGTTTTACGCGTGTTCCTATAGATTGCCTTTCTCCTGTGGCTCGAATCCGCATTTTGGCTCAAGCGTTCGCACGGTCGTCGCCCCGTGTCCTGGCTCAAGGGTCCGCCTCTGGCGAAAGCCTATCGGCGCGGCCCTTCGCCCGTGGCGCGGATGGCGACGCCCAGAGGGGCTTGGTCGGCCCGCGACGCCGCCCTCCTGGTTGAGGCGGCGGTCCGCGGGGCCGTCTCTGCGAGTGCGCCGCGGCGCACGGTCGCGGCTGTGGCGCGGTCGGCTGTGTCGGCCACCCTTTTCGGGGTGGGCCGCGGGGCCGTGGGCGCCGTGCCGCCGCCGCCCGCTGCTGCTGCTGGTGCTGCTCGCCCTGATCCTCCTGACCGAGCTGGTGCTGCTGGGGCTGACCCTGCGGCGCGAGCCGCGAAGCGCCGCCGCCGCCGCCAGCGCCGTGCTGCGCGGCGCGCGGCCGCCCAGGAGGAGAACAACATGGTCGTGGAGGAGGTGCCCGCTGGGGTGGTCGCTGGAGCTGCCGCTGGTGCTGCTGCTGCTGCGGCTGCAGCGGCGGCCTCCGCCGACGACGACATGGACGTCCTCGAGGACGAGTGGGCGGACGACGTTCGTCGGGCCGCCTCGGGTGCGGCGGCGGCGGATCCCGCTGGAGTGGGAGGAACTGCCGCCCCTGCCTGGCCGCGGAGGCGCAGGCGGAGGCCCGAACCCGCCCCTGGGCGCGAGGGCCGGTGGGTCGTGGACGCGGAGGGCGCTGGCGCGGCCGGCGCGGCCGCGGGCACGGGGCTGGCACTCGCGAGGGACCCGGGGGCGAAGGGGCAGGCGGACGCGACGGTGGCGGCGGCGGAGCCTGGCGGCGGAGCTGCTGCCTCGGGCGCGGCGACGGGGGCGGCGGCTGCCCTCGAGGACGCGTTCGCCGCGGCGGACGGCGTCCTGCGGAGGGCGGCCGATTGGCGCCCCGAGGCGAGCGACGACCTTCGGCGCATGCTGGAGGCCGTCCGCTGGCACCCCGCCTAGGCCCAGATGGGGAGTGCCTTCGGTGGTCTGGGCCTTTTCAGGCTCGGCACGGGGTGGATGGTGGCTCGCGTGGCCGCCTCACCTGACGGCGCACACCCACGCGGCGTGGCGAGCGCGCTGCTTCTTGGAGGCCGCTGTTTGCGGTGCCTCCTGGCCGCATTTTGCGGCTCTCGCCTTCTTGGCGGCAGGATCGGTTCGTGCTGCACGGGCTGCCTTGTCATTAAAAAAGTGGCTCTAATCCGCAATGTTTTATGTACGTCTGTTGCTATACATTGCGCCTCTCCTGGGGCACGACACCTCCCTAGGATGCCCCAGGAGGCCCCGAGAGGCTCCTGGAGGCCCCAGGAAGCCCCAGTAGGTTTCAGGAGGCCCCAGGAGGCCCCAGGCTCATGCACAAAGACGCGCTCGTACTACTGAGGCTCATTCACACTCCAATTCATTCGCAGTTCGATTTATGTCCAGACCGTCACAACTGAAGCCCGTGTATATTCGAAAGCCGTTGCGCTTAGACATTCACGGCGGACAGGTCCATGCGAATAGATGCACATATGGGGAGCTCCACGCAGTGAATAATTTTCTGCCCCATTATCCTTGGCTTTCGAAGCAGATTTGGAGGATGTCTCGAGCGAGGCGCTCATTTCCCATCCCCCCCCCCCCCTTAGGGGAGCCGCAAGGGGTTATCTCACGGTCCCGTTCGTGGCCGTTTTGTGGGGGCGTCTCAAGCGGTTTGCTTGTTTTCTGTCACAGTATCTTTCGCTTTCGAAGCAGACTTGGAGGATGTCTCGAGCGAGGCGCTCATTTCCACCCCCGATAAGGGGAGCCGCCATGGGTTATCTCACGGTCCCGTTCGCGGCCGTTTTGTGGGGATGTTTCCAGCGATTTGCTTGTTTTCTATCCCAACATCCTTTGCTTTCGGAGCATATCCGGAGGATGTTTCGAGCGAGGCGATCATTTTCACCCCCCTAAGTGGAGCCGCCAGGAGTTATCTCACGGTCCCGTTCGTGACCGTTTTGTGGGGACGTCTCAAGCGGTTTGCTTGTTTTCTGTCCCAACATCCTTCGCTTTCGGAGCAGATTTGGAGCATGTCTCGAGCGAGGCGCTCAGTTTCACCCCCTCTGAGGTGAGCAGTCAGGGGTTATGTCACGGTCTCGTTCGCGGCAGTTGTGCGGGGATGTCTCAAGCGGTTTGCCTGTTTTCTGTTCCAACATCCTGCGCTTTCGGAGCAGATTTGGAGGATGTCTCGAGCGAGGCGCTCATGCTGCTAGGGGCCATTTCACGGTCCCGTTCGCGGCCGGTTTGTGGGGATGTATCAAGCGGTTTGCTTGTTTTCTGTCCCAACATCCTTCGCTTTCGGAGCAGATTTGGAGGATGTCTCGAGCGAGGCGCTCATTTTCACCTCTCTAAGGGGAGCCGCCAGAGGTTACCTCACGGTCCCGTTCGCGGCCGTTTTGTGGGGATGTCTCAAGCGGTTTGCTTGTTTTCTGTCCCAGCATTCTTCGCTTTCGGAACAGATTTGGAGCATGTTTCGAGCGAGGCGCGAACTGTCACTCCCCAGGTTGGCCAGATTTGGGGGATGCCTCGATCGGTGGCCAGACTCGTGGGCAATATTCTCTACAGGATGCGACAGGAGGCTCCAACAGGCTCCACGAGGCTCCAGGAGACCACATGAGGTCTCAGGAGGCATCAGGAGGCCACAGAAAGACTCAAGAGGCCACAGGATGTCCCAAGAGGCTCTAGGAGGCCCCACGAAGCTCCGGGAGGCCTCAGGAAACCACAGGAGGCCCCAGGAGGCCAGAGGACGCGCCAGGAGGTCTTGGAAGGCAACAGGAGGCCCCGAAAGGCCCCAGGAGCAGGAGGGTTCAGAAGGCAACAGGAGTGGTTCCAATTCCATGTGTTTTATGTATGATCCTAAAGATTGGGCCTCACCTGGAACACGAATCCTTGATGTTATACGTATGTTTCTGTAGATTTTGTCTTTCTCCTGTGTACTTATGTTCCTATAGGGCATCTCCTGAGGCACGAATCCTTAGTATTTTACGCGTGTTCCTGTATATTGCAGCTCTTGCGCCTAGACACTCACGGCGGACAGGTCCATGCGAATAGATACACATATCGGGAGCTCCACGCAGTGAGTCATTGTTGTCGTCGTCCTGGCGGTTTGGTCGCGGCGCGGGTGGGTCGCTGCGCGGGCGGGTCGCGGCGCGGGTGGATCTCGGGTCGTTTGCGGCGCCGATGGGTCGCGGGTGGGTTGACGGTGGGTCGCGCCGTGGGTGGACCGCTCTGGGGGGCCCTCTTGGAGCTGTCTTGGGGCCTTGTTGGAGCTGTCTGAGCGCCTTCAGAAGGGCCCAAGGGGGCTCCAAGAGTGCCCCAAGACAGCTCCAAGAGGGCCCCATGAAGGCCCCAGGGCCTTCAGGACGTAGGAAAGGCCCACGGGGGCCCGGCACAGCTCAGGGCCCCAAGTCGGCTTCCAGAGGGCCCCCAGCGCGGTCACGCTAAGCCTCTCTTGCGTGACCGATGTTGTGGCCCTTTTGGCGGCCTTTTCAGGCCCTCTTGGGGGCCTCTTGGGGCCCAATCGAGGCCTTCTCGGACCCTTGCCAGGGCCCTCGGAGAGGCCCGCACGGGCCCCGAAACATCCTTATGAGGCCCCCACGAGGGCCCCCAGGGGCACCCGAGAGGGCCCCCAAATCGGTCGATAGCATGCCACTCTTTCCCAACCGACTGAAACAATTTAGGAAATCTCCCAACGCAGAGGGCCTTGCTTACTTTGGACATCATTGGTTCGGACGGTGATTTCCAAAGAAGGCAAGGGGCCGCTCCGGGCCCCTTGGGGGGGGGGAGTTGCGGAGGAATTCGGAGGAGCTCGGAGGAGCGTGCCGGGCAGCGGCCCCCTCGGCGGCTGCGGTGGGTCCGGGTCGCAACGCAATCCCCCGCACAGACTGCGATGTCTCTTCTCCCCGCCTCCCTAGTTTGACGTAGTTTAGTTTGACGAGGACGTGATTGCACGAATCTTCGTTTCAAGATTTGCACAAACTTGCCGCGTCAAAGAAAGCTTCCCTTCCCGAGGGAATTCTTCAAGGTCTCGCCAAACTTTTGCGAGGATGTTTCGAAAGAGTCGCTCGCGTGAAAGCTCGTCAAATGTCGTCATATCCCGGTTCGACATCGTCCAAGTAAGATTCGTCAAATCGCGCCATCGTCAAAATCGCCTCGTCAAACTATTTGGGAGAGGGCAACAATGACACGAGGGGGGTGAGTCGCAGCCCGAACGCGGCGCAGTCGCCGAGGGCAGGTCTCCCGGGGCATTCAACAAACTGGGGCATGGTCGGGTAGTCGGCCAGTAATCGCGCTCTGGGGTCGCTCGGGCCCGTCTGCAGGTTTTCCGGGGGTGGGCGAGCGAGCTCCCAGAAGGCACCTCAGACTCCACTGCCTAGGTTGCTGCCGGGCGGCGGGCCATGGAGGCCATCATTCAGGCCATGCGCGAGCGTCGTCGCGACGCCGTCGAGGTTTGAGCTGCGAGGAGGCCAAAATATGATGACCAGGCCAATGTCGGGGGGTGTTGGGCGCCCAGCCGCGGCATCCTCATTCGCTGCGTCGATGCTTTGCGGCAGTCTTTGCATTCTTGTCGTTTCGCGTAGCCCCGCCGCGCATTTTCTGCTCTTCTTCCTGTTCCCTCGGTTCCCCTCTCGTCGCTGTTCTTTTCGTTTTGCCGTCCTTCTTCTCTTCGCGCTCTCTCTATCGCTGTTGTTCCTTCGTCGTTCCGCCCCTCGCTTTGCTCGCAGCGCAGCGTAGCCGGTTCGGCGTTGCTGCCCATCGCTTGTCTGCCCGACTTTGCGACGCCGCGCGGGCGTCCGCTCGCGGCCGCGATCAAAAAGTACCCCCGCCGCCCCGCTCAGAGCAGATGCCCAGGCGAGTCGCCTTGACTAGGGAAGCGCAGCAGCGCGCAGCGAAACAATCAAGCCTGCGGCCGCGACGAAGAAGAAAAAGAAAACATAAAAGAGGAAGAAAAAAATCCAGAAACGATGCCCAGGGGAATTGCCTCGATCAGGGGACTGGGCAGCACGCGGAGGAAGCCATTTTTAGACATCTCGGGATATCTTGAGCCATCTTGGAGGTCATTTTGGGCTCTCCCAGGCGCTCTTGGAACCCTCTTAATCAGCCCCCCCCCCCCCCCCTCCCTAAGAGGCCAACGCGCGGCTGAAACCTTCGTAGAAATTTGGCATTCTCGCCGAGGCCTCTTGGAGCATCTTGGCGCCTCAGGGGTATTTTGGGGCCTCTTGGGGGCCTCTTGGGAGCCTCTGGGGCATCATGCAGGAAGTGTCCGGTTCGGGCCGGTTCGGGTCGGTTTGGCGGCGGACCGGTTCGGTTGCAGCGGTTCGATTTCGGCGCGGGGTCCGGTTTTGGTCGTCCGGTTTTGCCAGTCCGGGTCGGTTTATGCCGGTTCGGTTCGGCGGTCGCGGACGGTCCGGTTTTGGGGGGGGCGGTTGGGGCCGGAGGGTGCCGGGGGGGGGTGCCGGCACGGGGGGGGGTGCCGGCACCGGGGGGGTGGGGTGCCGGCACCGGGGGGGGGGGTGCCGCCCGGGGGGGGGTCCGCACCGGGGGGGTGCCGGCTGGGGGGCCGGCAGGGGGGGGGGGGGGGTGGCACCGGTGGGGGGGTGGGGGCGGTGCGCACCGGGGGGGGGGGCCGGCGGGGGGTGTGCCGGGGCCAGGCACCGGTGGGGGGGTGCCGGGGGGGTGGGTGCCGGCACCGGGGGGGGGGGTGCCGGCACCGGGGGGGGGGGGGGTGCCGGCACCGGGCTTTCTTGGGCCGGTGGGGAGTCCCGGGGCCCGGTTCGGTTCCAGCCGGTTCGGGCTTGCCGTTCGGGCCGGTTTCGACCGGCCGGTTCGGTTCGAACCGCCCGGCCCGGTTTCAGCCGGGCCGGTTCGGGCTCCGGTTCGGGCGGCTCGGTTGCAGGAGCCGCCGGTTCACGGTTACCAGTTCGGTTCGGACTCTTCTTGATCATGGGGGCCTCTTGGGGGCTTCCTGACCACTTCTTTGGTGCCTTCTCGGAGCACCCGCGGGGGCCTCGGGGGCCATCCTTGGGCCGTCTTGGGCGAGATCGACCTCGGGAGGAGACGTCGCTAATTGCCCCCCCCCCCCCCCCCAGGAGGCGAACGCGGCGCCGAAGCCGTAGTAAAACCAATGATTTTGGTTTCCTCGCCGATGTCGTTTTGGGCGCTCCGACGACTCGCGGAACCCACCGCCCAGGCCCATGGGGAGGGGGTGGGGGGTGGGTGGGGGGGGGGGGCAAACCCTTCCCCGAAGGGCGGGGCGCAGGGATGGAAGAGGAAACCGCTTAAACCACCGACGCCCAGAGGTCCGGCGGCATTTCGGACCAAATCTCCTGGCGCGATTTGCCAGGGGCAGCGACTGAGTTCACGCGGCATCGCGTAATCGTTGACAGAAGGTTGGGTTACAAGCAAGGAACTGGCCTTAGTGCGCGGGCTTACATGCTCATCGACGATTGCTGGGGAGAGGAAATCAAGGCTGCCCCGTCGGAGCACAGGGCTCCTCGCGCCATGATAATTGTTCGGGGGCGCATCGTTGACTGCGCGGAAGCGGATCGAGGCAGGCCTCGGCATCATATCATGAGCCACGGCAGCAGATGCCTCGGGCACATCAAGGACAACAAGGACAACAAGGACAATGACAATGGACAGGGCGCCGGGCATCGAGCGGGCCCCAGGCGTCTAGCAGACGCACGACCCAGAGCAATTATTATCCGGGCCAGTATCATCGCCAATGGACACCAGGTACCTGAAACTGATGGCAACTATGCACGCAGCGTTGCAGAGAGGGCATGGCAGCGCTGGTCTGCGGAGGACACAGCGAACGCTACGGTCGCAATAGCACGAGGCGAAGAAAGGTTGCCGGCAACGATTCAGTCGGGGCCGCACTGCGCGTTCAAGATGGACGGGGCGCAGTGACCGAACGCGAACTTCAATTTTCAAGTGCGATGCCGAGGGGGCTCATTTGCGGGATTCGCGGGTCCGCCTCGCCCCCCCCCCCCCGAGGGAAATCAAGCGGCGTCATCGGCGCCTCTTCCCATGTCGCCATTCAAGGTTCGCAGGGGCTGACGCGCGGGGGGGCATCGGGGGGCGCCGATGGCCCGCGGCGCCCCCCGGGGCGGGCTGGAAGAGCGCGGCCCGCGCGCCCCGCCGCGGGGGGGGGGGGGGGGCGTTGCTTCCCCCTCCAGACCCGCCCCCTGCCGCCGCCCGCCGCAGCTGTTCAGGCGCTAATGCAGTCGTCGCTGCGCGTGGGCGCCGCGGGTCAATCGGCGCGGAAGTTTAGAAAATTGCGGGCAGTCGTCGGCGTCGTCGTCGCCCCTCCCTTCTCTTACCTCGTTCTCTTGCGCGCGATCACTTGCAGCTTAACGGGCCGTGGAAAGCACGCGAGAGACCTAGCGCGAGCGACGAGCGGGCCGACCGCAGGGCCCGCTCCCCCGCAGCCGCGGAGCGGGGCCTCATCGGCCGAGCGGCGCCTCGCCGCGGAGGGAGGCCACTGCAGCGCATCAAGATCGGCGGCGGCTCGCGCGCGCCATGGCGCTCGGAGACTGCTGCCCGAGCGGGGCTGGAACATGAACCGGCGCTGTCATCGGCGCCGTCGTCAACCCCCCCATCTTGCTTCGCCCCCCCCCCCAGCCCCCCCCCGCCATCGCGCGCGCCCCCACTTCCACCGCCCCCGGTCGCAGCGGGGCCCCCGCGGCAGAAGAACTGAAGAGGAGGGCCTCTCTGCAACGGCGGGGGCCCATCTTCGACCCCCTCTGCGACAGCAGAGGGGGCCCCAAACACTGCCGCCGAATTGAGGCGCGCGGGTTATCTTGAGCGACGAGGCCAATATATTAGCTTCATCATCGAACCCAACTCTTGCGAGAAACAGCGATCCTCCGGCGAATGATTGAACTGGGCCGCGGCAGCGGGCGTCGCGGCAGGTCTACATGGGCCCAGACATGCCGCGCCTCGAGCGGAGCCTATAGTATTCGCGATCACATCAGAGGAGGCAGAGGGCGAGTTGGCCCACGTTACCGATCAGTGGCCTCCTCTCACTGCGTGGGCGAAAGGCAGAGCTGGCAACCCGCGGCGCGGGCGCAATGGAGACGTCGGGGCCGCGCCAAGCGGGGGCGCGTGGAAAGGCGCAGGGACAAGTGACATATCAACGTTGAGCGGGGCCCGTTCCGCCGCCGGGATGGCGCGGAGATCGCGGGGCCCGCCGGCCGAATTTTCGCCGCGAGCAGCTGTTTCGCGGGCGCGTTGGCGACGGTGACAGCGGGCGCCCCTTGGGACAGAGTACTCAGACCTCTTGCCGTGCGCCGACGAATTGGATGCGATTTGCGCTCGCGCACGGCCGCGGGCGCGACGGGCGCGGGCAGACGCTGCGGAGGCAGACCCCTGGCGCGCAGGAAGGCCGCCCACGCGCAGGCCCAAACCGCTGCCGAAAGACACAGTTACCATGCAGAACGCAGCTCACGACGTGATCGAGCTCAGCAGCAACTTGCTTGGACCGGCCTGCACGCAGCGCGTCGCTGCGGACCCCCTCGAGCAGTTCAGCGCCACCTTTTGCGGGCCAAGTCCGCCGCTGCAAACGCGGCCATTATCGCCGCGGGTTCGCGACCCATGAGAAGAAGGGTGAGATTCACGAGACACAAAGCTCAGAAGTGGACGACATAAGGATCGTTCTTCTCTTCGCAGCGCGCAGCGCGCGGCGCCGCCACGGACAGGGGCTCGAGGGGGCAGCGTGCGGAGGAGACCGCCGAGTATGGCCAGGGCCCGCTCAATCGCATCGCGCAGGGAAGTATCCCAGCTACGAGGGGCCACCCAAGGCTGCGCTCGACGCCGCCCGAGCTCGAGAGGTAGCCCGACTACGCGACTAGGAGAGGCAGGCCCTGCATGTTCCTCGCGCTCCTCGAGCTGAACTGGCCTCGTCTACTGCGCCACCTTTGCCGAAGGCGACGGTGGGAAGGGCGGGGGCTGGCAGAAGACTTGCAGGAGCATGGCGTAGCCAGACAGCAACCAGAGGTGGCAGTGCATCCCAGGCGCCATGAGCAGGTTCAGCGCCCGAAATTTGAAATGGCGAGAGTGGCGATACAAGCGACGGCTTCGATGACGAGCCCGGCGAGGGCCCGGGTCAGTTTTTTTTTTTTTTTTTTTTTTTTTTTTTTTTTTTTTTTTTCGAGGGCGGTGGCGTCAGAGGGCGCTCGAACGTAAGATTCTGGCGATGGCCTCCCATGTTCGACGTCGTTGCTGGACGCTGGCGTTAGATCTTTACGCCCCAGCGGCTTGCGGGGTTCACCGTCGTCAATATCGTTAGACTTGCAAATCCTGCGTGGCCCCCCAGGTTCAACGTCGCCGTTTTGCTTTGCGCGGATGGATATTGATCTGAATGTTTTTCTGGGAGGTCGGGCGCCTCCCAGGGCCTCATTCACAATGTTCTTGGCGCTGGCGCCATCTCGCGCCGCACCGTCTTTGCCAGTGGCGAATTTGGGCTGCCAACAAGGCCGCCCGCCCTTGCGCCCGACACCGCTGCCGTCGCGAACTCCAGAGCCACCTTTAGCACGGGAGCGGGCCCCGACCGTGGTCACAACGGCCCGACGACAGCGGTGGAGACTGAGGATGATCAATCCGCGGGTCCGCCATGTCAGGCAGGGGCGTTAGTGCCTGTCTTGGGGTGGCGGTCTAATTCGCGATCCAAACCTAATCTTCGACCTCCTCATCCTTACTTCCGCTCCCTCCCCCCCCCATCCCTTCCTTTTGTTTCCCGCTCATCCCTCCCTTCCCCGCCCGCCGCAGGCGTCACTCGCGGCCTCGACGGCGGGGGCGACCGTCGACGCTTCCTCGTCGAGGCTCCCGGGGGCCAAGGAGAGGGGAGGAGGGCGAGGACGAGCCAGGTCGCAACCTGAGCCACTTTGGAGGTCACGCTGGATTTTCCCAGGCAGTCGTGGCGGCGCCTTCTAGGACGCCCTAACTTGTCGGCCTCGTGGGGCCTCTTGGAGGCTCGAAATGTCCGCTCCGGGCCCGTGTTGGGACCGTCTCTGGGCCCCCTCTTGGGGTCGTCTTGGGCGCCTCTTGGGCCGTCTCAGGGCCCTCCTGGGGCCTCTGGGGCCGTTTTGCGGCCATCTTGGGGGTTTCGTGGGGGTTGGCGTTTGTTGGCGTTTGCTTTCCGTGTTTCCCCTCTTCCCCCTCCCTCCTTTTCCTCCTCCTCCTCTTCCTCCTCCTGGCCTCTCTCCGTGCTTGGGGCGCGCGCGCCTAATGGCGGGTTTGGTGGCTCACGCCCCGCGGCCGCGTCTTCGCCTCGTTCGCTCTCGCCGCGCGCTGTGCGCGGCGGTCGTTTCCCCCTTCGTCCTCGTCCTTAGTCCTCCTCCTTCCCTTTTTCTCCTTGTATTCTCTCTGCGCTGCAGCGCTGCCGCCCTGCGCGCGCCGAAGGCGGCTTGGAACGGCCGGCAGAGGTTCGTTCCCCCCCCGGTCTGGGTCAGGGGTTGCGGCTGGCAGGCCAGGGGGTGTTTACAAATGGTTTGCACATCGGACCCTTTCGACCCCATCTAGGAGGCCCCAGTTGATGTTCCGAGGTCTTGGAGCGTTGGGAAGCCAAGGCGAGAACGCCAGCATCCTTGAAAAACCAAGAGCACATCAATGTTTTGGCCTCTTGGGGCACTCTTGGAGGCATTTTGGGGCGTTTTGGAGGCCTCTTGGGCCGCCTGGGGGCCATGTTGAGCGTCTTGGAGCGATCGTTCGGCGACTCGGGGCCCTCTTGGACCATCTTGAGGGTCTCTTGGAGCTCCTCTTGGCCCGTCTTGGACCCCAACAAAAATATGCGACAAGCCGCGGGGAACCGCGCAAGCCCCAGTAGATTTGGCAATGTGGGCTCCGGGCCCCTTGGAGACTCATCAGGAGTGAGGAATGCGACTTAGCGGAGTGGCCGGCGGCACGGCATGTGTGTTTTTCACGCGGAAAATGTATTCTGCCGTCGGGGCTGAATTCACCCCGCTTGTCTTCGTTGCAGAAATCATTTACCCCACGTCCTCTCAAGCTCTTTCCGCGCTGTGTGTTTCTTGACGGCGAACGGCTTCTGCGATCGGGCACGCTCTGTCTCTACACAACATCGCCTGCGGATGGCCTTATGTTGCCGACCTCGATTCACATGCGCACCGTGACAGAATGGTCACAAACACTAGTACCGGGTTAGTAAACAATAATACCCGGGACCTCAAGCAGCAGGATGAAGGCAACAAAACCGTTGATTTGGGATGATACCGACCCGAAAGTACGAGGACCACGTCGTGGTTGAGCATGGTAATTGTGTTGTGGAATTGAATGGCTTGCGCTTCAGGCCCTGAGCGTATCCCTCGAGCGTAACGAAGACAATTCCATACAAGCATCAGCACACTTGAAGCCGTGCTTAACGAGTTCGTCCACACTCGCCATTCGACAGTTGATGAAAAGACAGCCGCGGCAGGATTCGGAGCTTCTCCAAGCGCCACGTTAAACCGCTGGCCGCGACCTGAAGCCAAAGCAACGCCAAATGCTACGGATTGGACTCTGGCCACGTGTGCCTGTGTGGTCAGGTGTGGAAGGGGAGGACAGAGGAGGCGAAGAGGTGAAGGAGGAGGAGGAGGAGGAAGAGGAGGAGGAGGAGGAGGAGGAAGAGAAGGAGGAGGAGGAGGAGGGAAGTGAGCTTGGAGGAAGGGGGAGGAGAAGGAGTTGGATGACGATGAGGTGAGGAGGAAAAGAAGGGTGAAGGAGAAAGGAGTAGGGGGAGGAGGAGGAGGAGGAGGAGGAGGAGGAGGAGGAGGAGGAGCAACAGCAGCAGGAGGAGGAGGAGGAGGTGGAGAAGGAGAAGGTGGGGGTGGTGGGAGGAGGTGGAGGAAGGAAGGAACAGTAGGGGGAGGGAAGGTAGGACGGAGAGCAGGAGGCAGGAAGGGAAGGATCGGAAGGACAAGGAGGAGGAGGAGAAGGAGGAAGGGGGTTAGGGGAGGATTGGGACGGGAATGGTGATAACATATCTTTCGCAGCGATCAGCCGAAGAGGGAGCTTATAAGCCTGAATTGTTCCAAATAACATTGTGAATAGACATGTTCCCGCCTTCTTCTTGAAACCAACAGGGTTGGAGGTAGGGTTCCTCCTCCGTCCCTCATTCCTCCAGTCTCGCCTATTCCACGTTCTTCCGCGCACCGCAGCCAGCCGTTTTCAAGACGGTTTCCGCCTCGTGCCCAGGGTAGCTTCAGGCTCACGGCTGGGGTTCCTTTTTGTCTTGGGGGGCCGGCTGGTCGGACTGGTTCCGCGTAGGAGTGACCTCTCGTCGGAGTGACTTCTTCGTGGGGGAGCATCAGAAGTCCCCCCATCACTTCACTGGCTGGCGCACGCGGATTTGCCCCCTCCCCCGCGCCCACGCCCCCCGAAGCCGCGCGCCAGAGGTCGCTCTTGCCTGAGGTCACTCTTGCGTGCTGCCGGGTAAGAGCTGCGTTGGCTCCTCCAGAGCGGCGCGGTCGAGGCCTAAGTTGGGTCGCCGAAAAGCGAATTGGTACAGAAAGGCGCCGGGGGCAGAAGGAAGGCGAGAGCGGCCTGGCGTCGTGGTCGGAACCACATTGCAGGGCTCGACCTTTTTGTTTCCGGGTCGACGATGCTCCCGTCGAAGACAACTATATAGTTTGATTCGGGGTCTGAAACGCAGTTCCACTGCCCTCCTGTCCCTTCTGCTCTTGCTCCTCCTCCGCCCGTTCCTCGTCTTCCTCTTCCTGCGGCTGCCACTTGCGGGCCAGAGTCGATGACGTTGAGGTGCAGCCTACTACTTGACTTGACGCAGCTCGGCACTGTGCGGCATTCTGCCACAGCGTACCAAACCGAGTTGGTCGCTGTCTTCCCCTCCACACAAACAAACAAAGGCGCGAACACCCCCTCAGCACAACAAATCTGCACACTTCTTTCCTCCAGCGGCCGAGTGACGCCACTGCAGCGAGAAAGCGAAGGCGGGGCACGCTGAGCGACTGTTCCACCTGGCGCTGCAAATGGGGGACTGCGCTGGGCGAGTCGCGTGCAGACAACGGGTAGCCTCGCTAGCCGAGCGCTTGTGAAGTGGGCGGCACAAGTTCCCACATCGGCACACCCTTTTCCCGTCGGCGGTCAGATGGGTATCACCGTAGCGTGTAGTAGGGCGGGCCACGCCAAGTTCAATTTCCACCTTGCCTTTGCAGATGGGTGGTCAGGACCTGGCTGAAGCATACACCAAAAACCGCCGAAGCGGATGCACCTGGAAGATGCCAAGAGCAATGCAGAAGCCGATGTGAGCGGGGTCACACGCATTCATTCGGTACGGTCGAAGATGGGTACGGAAAGAGTGAGTACGAAGACGACAGCAGTTTATGTTCATTTTGAACAGGATTCGCCATTGGTGTCGCCGCGGATGTTGTCCACTTGAGACAGAATGCCGCCTGTCCATCAGCGGCCGCTGCCAGTTTTGGACAACATTTGCTGTTGGGCATCTGTCGGCTGCGCGTAGGAGTAACCCTTCGCCAGAGTGACCTTTGGCGCGGGCCCACGGGGTTCCCCAAAGCATTGGATTGCGCGCTAGGATCTGAACATCCCGCGCCCCCCGAAGCCGCGCACCAACGATCACTCCTGCTCAGGGCTTTTTTTTGCGCGTAGGCCAATCGCACCCATTTGTCCTTACCCATCCCAGGCGTCCAAACAGATGTGAGAAGAGAAACATATGCACATCCACACACACACATACACACTTTTTGGCGGTAGCGGCCTGGCGCGCAGCGACGAGGCGGAGAAAGTGTTGCAGTCAGAACAGCGCGCGCGACGGCCGGGCCCTCAACATCGCTAAGGATGCAACCCACCTACCAGCATCGGCCACCTGGGCATAGATGGCAGGGACGGTACACGCAAGACCGTGCGAGAGACACACCACGGCCGCATGAGGGGTGGAGGACGCCATAAGCCGTCTGGGCGTGGACAGTGTGGAGAAAGTTGCGCACATGTGAGGCTGCCCCACGGCCGCATGAGGAAAGCAACGAACACCGGCAAACGACCATGGACGCTAGATGAGATTGCAGGAGAGGGGAGGGCGATGCAGGCACGAGGAAAGAAAAGAAAACCAGGCAAGTGACGAAACAAAGTTAGACGGAGGCAAGGGAGTGTTAGGTGCGGAAGTCGAACTTGGCATGGCCCAGTGCCGGCCGGCAGATGGCAACTGCGGGCTTAGCGCAAAGCTTGCGGTCCCCGCCTCCGCCCGAGGCGAAAGGCGGGCCGTTGCCAAGAGGAGGCAGCTCCGCCGCCCAGCATTGGAGATTTGGCACGGGAGGGAGCAGGTGAGGGAGCAATGGCAAGGATATCATCGGGTATGTTGTCGAGGAGTTCGCAAAAAACGACAGCGAAGAGAACGGCTGGGGTAGCGTTTTCGTAGCTGGTGTGCTGGTGGCTCTTGGCCTGCCAGGGCCTCCACCTAGCTCGGACGAAGTGAGCACCTTCCCACCCCCCTCGAGCCAGGTGGCGGCTTCTGCGGCCAGGCGGCGCTGCGCAGGGCCAGGCTCGGGACGGCCTGCCAGCGAGTTGGGCTTGGGCGCGAAGCGCGCCTTGGGTTGCGGCGGAGGCACGTCGGTGAGGCGCGACCTCTCCACGGGGCTAGGAGAGGGAGGGGCAGGGGCTGGTGGTGGCGGCGCAGGAGAGGCACCGGGAGCGACAGCGCGCGGGGCTGCCACGCGGCTGCTGGCGGCCCGTGCGCCGATGGCCGCGGGCCTGTTGTTTGAGGCGGAGTCGTCGCCGTAGAGCTGCCCTTGGGGCGGCGGTGGGGGTGGTGGCAGGACGGGGGCACTGAGTGGGCGGCGCTCTGGCACCGCGGGCCGGCCGCGGGGGTCCCCGGGGCCAGAGCGTCGGAGGACGCCGCGCTGCCGCCGTAGAGCTGCGGCCTCCACACAGAGGGCGGTAGGCGCACGCTGGCAGGCCGGCTGCCGACGGGCAGGCCGCCCGAGCGGGACCTGGGTTCCGCCTTGGCGGGCGTGGAGCCTTGAGCCGTGGCAGGTTCGCGGGAGCCGGCGGCAACCGTGGCCAGCGGTGGCCGCCCCTTTCGGGCGGCTGCCTTGGCGACGGGGAGCCGCCAGGAAGACGATGGTCTCGCCTGGAGACGTGCCTGCGGAGTGGAGGTGGGGAGCACCCACAGGTCGCGGAAAGTCGCGGGACACCAGCCGCTTGTGTGAAGCAGCGATATTTAGAAGCGGGAAGGTTGCTATCAGCCGCGCCGAGGTCGCCAGACCCGCTGTCGTGTGAGCGGGCTCGGGGCGCAGGGGGGCTGCCCACCGCTGCGGCCTCGTACCCCATGGAGGAGGCGTTGCTGGCCAGGGCCTTCGCGCCCCATTGGGGGGTACGTGAGTGAGGGCCACGACCGACGCTTGGTGTAGGTGTAGGCGATGTCCTTCTTGGTGGCGGGGTCCATGCTATGCCAGCCCCGAAGAGCTTGGGCATCCCAGGCATCGCAGAGTCCGCTGAGAAACCTGGGCGGGAAGAGCTTCGGGTCGGTATGTACGAAGGGCTTGCCAGGAGACCAGAGGTCGTAGATCGCCCCAGCAGCGCAGCGGGAGGACAGGCGTTGGCCGCCACGTACTCGTTGGGCTGCTCAGAAGCGGGTACGTGAGTGACGGGCTTGCTGTCGCCTGTCGAAGGCTTATATTCGGAGGCGCGGGAGAGAAACCGCCGTAGGAAGGCGTCGTCGCACTTCGCAGGGCCCCCGTGCTTGGCCAGAGTGCGCCCCAGGATCTCGCGCCAGAGCTGGGCCTGGCTGAAGCCCAGCTTCACCCAAGCTTGCGCCACAACCACCAGGTCTTCTTTCGGTAGCTTGGCGACAGAAGTCTGGGCGATGCGCGCAAAGGGGCCGCTGGCGGGGCCGGGTGGGGCCGGCGGTTGGACGTCGTCGTCGCTTTCGGGCGGTCCGTCGCTGTCGGGGTCGCCGGAGGGCTCGCGCGGCCCCCCCCTGCCCCGCCGCTCGGCGGAAGAGCCACTGGAGTGAGAACTCGCTGCTGGCGCAGGGCGCCTTGCAGTTGAATGGGCGTCAGACTCGGACCCGTGGGGGGGCCTGGAACTGGAGCTTGCGGAGACGGAGCCGTCCTTGCGGCGCGCAGATGTCGCTGGCAAGAGGGGGGACAGGCGTGGCTCTGCGCCGCCGGAGCGGGCGGACTAATCGCCTGCGCTGCCGCGGGAGCCGCTGCGGGGCTGTTCGGCGCGCTGGCGGTAGGCCTTGAACGGCTGCCCGAGCTCGTTGGCCTCAGCCTCTTGGCCGTAGGTGTCGCATAGATAAAAGCGCCACGTTGGAATGGCGGGCCGGGCGCGGCTTCTGCCTTCCTTGCTGCCAGGAGCCAAATGTCTCATGTTGAGCTGCTCGGAAGCGCGGCGGCGGAGGCTGGCCTCGGCGAGGCCCCATCTCGGGCCAGAGGGGCGGCGCTGATGGAGATGGCGATGGGTTCCCATGCCAGCCTTGCCAGGCTGCTGGAAGGCCGTCGGCCTCGATGCGCGGGAGACCGAGGTCGATCCTGCGCTCCGCGATCACGTGGCGGAGAAGGCGCGGTGGAACATTGGTGCAGGCAGGGTCCCAGTCGGCGGCCTGACTGCCGAACTTGTTGGGCCCGGCAAGTCGCGCGACGAGGGTAGGAAGCTCGAGCTTGCCGTATTCGCAGATGGCCAGTTGGAGTGCGCTCAGGTCTGCTGTTCGGTCGACGGCTCCGCGCGCAGGATAGTTCGCTGGAGGGCGGGGCCCAGGCGCTCCTCCAGGCCCAGTGGGGCGCTGCGCTGAGCCAGATCGAGAGCGGCGGGCGCGCTTCGACGTCGGGCTGGGCCGCGAGGGCATTCGCCGTGCCGCGGCCGCTGCATGAAGGGTCATGTTCGCCGCGGTCGGGAGGTCCGCGTCGCCGCTGCTTTCGGAACCCGCACGCGCAGATCTTCTCAATCAGCAGCGCCGGCGATCGCAGGCGCGGGGGCGGCGCTGGCGAGGCGCGTCGAGCGCGGGGCGCGAAGACGAATGAAAAAGAGCGCGGCCGCGGAAGATGAAGGAGGAAGGAGGAAGGAGGCCCGCCCGCCGAGAGTCGGCGGGGGAGGGGCTGAGCACACACACACACACGCACACGCACGCACACACACACACACACGCACACACACACACACGCACACACGCACACACGCACACGCACGCACGCACGCACGCACACACACACACACACAAAAACACACACACACACACGCACACACGCACGCACACGCACGCACGCACGCACGCACACACACACACACACACGCACACGCACACGCACACGCACGCGCACGCGCACGCGCACGCACACACACACACACACACACACACACACACACACACGCACACGCACACGCACACGCACACGCACACGCACACACGCACGCACGCACGCACGCACGCACGCACGCACGCGCGCACGCACGCACGCACACGCACGCACGCACGCGCGCGCGCACGCGCACACACACACACACACGCACACACACGCACACACATCCGCAGCCATTTTGGCTCAAGGCTATGAACCGCCCGACGACCGCGAGTCGGCCTCGGTCGGCGACTTCCGAGCGCGAGGGGGTTCGCGCTTTGAGGCCACAGCAATTGATAACAATTGTTCCGCGCCGCCCTGCTGGGCATCGTTCTTTGGGGTTACTGCAGTGAGTGGGCCCCCACTCAGGCATCTGAGCGATGGCGCCCAGGACGGGTGGCGGCGGAGCCGGCATAGTTGATGGGAAAGGACAGCGGTCGCATCGCGGTGCCGGGGATCTTGGCAGCCGCAAGGACCGCGCTTCCAAGTGAGAGCGCAAGTGGCGCCCGGGCTTCGTCAACTTTGCGGATCGCACGTCCTGCTTCAATTGCCACATGCCTAAGTCTGTGGCCTTCTGCGGCAAGGTGGGCAACGGCGGGGGCGCACCTTCTGTTCGCGCCCTTCCACGGTCTGCAGGCGGCGGCGCGGGCGGCGCTGGGGGTGGCGGCGGGGTTGCTGGAAGGGCTCAGGGGACCGTCTCGCCCTTGGAGCTGGACAAGCTCAGGGCCAGCTCGCCCAGGCCAAGCAGGAGACCGACAAGTGGAAGGCGGCCGCCCAGGCTGCAGGCGCCGACAGCGGCACAGGAGGCGACGGCCCCATGGGGGCCGCCGTTGGCGATGTTGAGGCGGGCACCTCCAAGCAGAAGCAGCTGGCGAAGCTGGACAGGCGCATCAAGGATGTGGAGAAATGGCTCGCAGACGACCCCAGCGATGACCTGCTCACGCAGCGCCTCGAAAAGGACCGCGCTGAACGCGACAGGTTGCGAGGCGAACTGCAGCAACCCAAGCCCCTGGGGGTGCGGTTGCAGACCATCGCCACCCGCGTCGACAACCTCAAGGGCTCCATCTCCAAGGCCCAGGAAGGAGCCGAGGCGAAACGGGAGCAGTCCAGGGTGGCCCTCGCGGCGGCGGGGGAGCTCGACGCCAAAGTGGCCAGGCAACAGGCCGAGCTCCACGAGCTCGAGGCTCAGCATCGTGACCTCCTGGCTTCTGCCCCCAGCCCGCCGGCCCAGGAAGGAGCGGATGCCAAGCCCACGGTGGCCGCGCAGATACGCTCGTTGGATCTTCTCCTGGGGGGCCTGGGCGCCGACCAACCGTTGCGCCAGCAGGCGGCTCAGCTCTTCGAGAACCTGCAGGCCGCCGGGACCAACCAGGCGCAGCAGACGCAGCAGGCGCAGCAGGAGGCCGCAGCTGCCGCCGCTCGCGCCGCGGCCGAAGCCGCTTCCGCCGAGGCCCAGCCTGAAGCCGCGCCCTCTGGCGGCCTGGCCGTGGCTGGCGGGGCCCATGGAGGGGCGGCGCCCCCTCCCGAGGCTGCAGTTGACGACGTGGCCATGGGCGCCGAGGCACCTGTGGACCTTGCTGACGTGGCCAGCCTCCGGGAGCACCTGCAGAAGATGGGCGTCCCCGTGGATCAACAGGGGGGCGAAGAGGTCAAGGCAGCAGCCAAGCGGTGCTTGGACGCGACGGCCGAGATCCGGGCCAAGCGGCCGCGGCGGCGAGTGGGTGCAGCGGGCGAGGCGGGGGCCTGATGTATTTGCCATCATGACGAAGGCCATCGGTACCCTTTTCCCCACCGTCAACACGAGCTCGCATGGGCCGTTGATGGAATACCTGACCACATGCTCGGTGCACCAGCTTGTGGCCGTTCAGGAGCACCACGCCGTGGCGGACAAGCTGGGCGAGGTGCAGGCGTCTGCCCTCGATTTGGGCTGGCGCGGGGTTTGGGGCGCTGCTCAGCCCAGCGCCGAGACCAGTGGCAACCAGGGCGGCGTAGCGGTGCTCGCTCCCATGGGCGCGCTCATCACGGCGCCCCCTGGCCTGGATGGGCCCGAGCTGGTGCCAGGGCGCGCCGTCGCGGGGCACGCGCACACAGCCGTCAAGGGCGGCATCGTCGTGGTCGCCGTCTACCTCCGTACGGGGGAGGGCCTGTCGGCCGAGAACTTGGGCATCCTGTGGAAGGTAACCCAGTATCTCAAGGCGGCCAACCAGATGGGCTTGGACTGGGTGGTCATGGGTGACTTCAGATGTGCCCCGACACGCTCCAGGGCGAGGGCTGGCTGCGTCTGGTGGCGGGACGGCGCATCGCGCCACGGATGCCGACCTGCCGCGCCAGCACCCCGGGGCCCATCATCGATTACTTCTTGGTATCGCGGCACTTGGCGCCGCGGCTGCCGCAGCCGCCCGAAGTGCGCCTGGGCGCCAAATTGTGGCCACACGCTCCGGTTACGCTGGCGCTCGCCACGGGGGGCCGCCAGGCGGAGGCCTGGGTCCGCACCCCCGTGCAGCCAAAGGCGTTGGCGCACCTCCCGCCCGTGGGGTGTGCGAGGGCACCCTGGGAGGGCCGGGCCGAGGTCCGCCGATCGGTCGAGGCGGCCGAGCAGGAGGACCAACTCGCCATCGCCTGGGACCTCGTGCTCCGCGGCATCGACGCGGAGCTCCTCGGCCGCCACGACGTGGTCAAGCCTGCCGAGAGGAGCCGGTACCAGCGCGAGGAGGGCCCGCAGCGGTACGAGTGGCATGCGTTTCGCTGGCAGCCGCGTCGGTGGCGCGAACGGAACGGCGCCGCCGTCAATGCTGCGGCCACGGCAGCGCAGTGGGCCGCGCACCTCCGCGACGTCCACGGCCACCTGCGGAAGCTGGTGGCGGAGCTGCAGGCCGCACCCCCAACCGCTATTGAAGCGCGCGGGCAGGCTCAGCGCGCCCGGGCCTCCGAGCGGCGGGCCAAGCGGACCAAGGCCCTTGTCGCGACGCTGCACGAGACGGCCAACTTCTGCGAGCGCATCGGTCGGTCGGTCCACGTGCTCAAGCACCTGGAGGAGGAGGATCAGCAACTCCTCCGTTCGGGCCTCGAGATGTTGCACGTTGAGGGCGCGCTGGCCAAGCTGGAAAAGCTGGAGCAGCGGGGGCAGCGGCTGCAGAAGCAGGCCGATGCCAAAGCGGCAGCTGTCTGGCAGAGCTGGGCCTGCGATGCCTTCCTGAACGGCGCGGGCCTCGCCCGCCGGGCCAGCAAGGTCAAGGGCAAGGTGGGGGTCGCCCCAGCCGCTGCAGCCCCTCCGATGGCCCCGGGTGCGACCGAGCCACCTATGCGGAGCCCCAGTGGGCCGCAGCTGCAGCTCCCCGCGCCGGCAGCGCGCGCGGCCGATCCAGGCCAAAGTCTCCAGAGGCCGCTCGGCGCTGCGGGGTGCCCCGCGCCTCCGACGGCACGCGCCGATCCAGGCCAAAATCTCCAGGGGCAGCTCCCCGTCGGCGGCGCCGCGGCCGCCCCGCTGGCTCGGGGCGCCGCTGGGAGAGCCGCGGACGCAATTTGCGTCAATGAAAATCTCGACGCAAATAGGCCCGCCCCCCTCGCCAGGGCCGCGGGGGGCGCCGACCATGACCATGACCAGGGTGCGGGTCAGGACGTGCACCCGCGCATGATCACCGACGCCGAGATGGACAGGTGGGCCAAGACCTGGGGCACCAACAAGCTTGGTGCGCTGGAGAAGCTTGCAGGTTTCGATGATTGGGCACTGCTGCCCCCCCTCACGGTGACCACGATGCTCGGGGCGATCGGCAGTTTCAAGCCGAACACGGCCCGCGGGCCCACGAGGATCGCTCCTCGGGCCTTGGGCGAGCTCTCTGATGCCGCCTTGGAGGGGCTGGCGGCCCTGTTCGAGAAGTGCGAGCTGCTGGGCGAGTGGCCGCGCGACAGGCTCGTATGTGAGCTCGTCCGGCTCCCGAAGGAGAGCGGTGGTGCTCGTCTCATTGGCCTTCTGAACACCCTCGTGCGGGTGCGGTCGCGAGCCCGGCGGCCCATCAGTAAGGCTTGGGAACGCACCAGCGCGGCGGAGCAGATCTGGGGATTGGGCAGCGGGCGTAGCAGCTCGGACTGCGCATTCGACCACAACCTCAGTGCAGAAGCAGCCAGGTATGGAGGAGCTGCCTCGCTGACCATCGTAGTGGACCTCTGGAAGTGCTTCGAAACCATCGCTCCGTCGATCCTCCTCGCAGAGGCGCGCGCCTTGCAGTTCCCGCTGCGGCTGATCTGGATGCTCCTTCGCTGCTACTCGCAGCCGAGGATCCTGAGGGCGTTTGACGGGGTCTCGAAGGAGGTGGTGAGCTTCAAGGGCACCATCGCGGGCTGCCCCCACGCAACCACGATGCTGAGCGTCCTGCCGACCCGTTGCCTCCGCAGGACGGCCGCCAGGGACCTGGCGGTCATCCCCAGGGCGCTGGTCGACGACGTCACGCTGCAGTGGCGTGGCCAGGCGGGCCCAGGGGTGCGAGCTCTGGCGCGAACGGCGCGACTGTTTATGGCGGAGATGCGGGAGCTGAAGGTCCACGTGCAGATGGACAAGCTGGGGTTCGTCTCCACCGCCCGTGCGGCCACGGTGGCGTTCAAGCCGCAAGCCAAGCGGTCGGGCGTGCCGCACCGGCACTGGGCGCGCAGTTTGGGGCACGAGGTGTTCGGCACGCGTGCGCTGCGGCGGCAGGAGCATGCCCGGGCGCGCGCAGTGCGGCGCAGGCGTAGGCGGCTGCACTTCCTCAAGCGGGCGGCGGGACGCAGGGCGACACGCCTCCAGACCACAGGGGTAACCCCTGCGATGGCGCACGGCGCGGGAGTCTCTGGGCTTGCCGACGCCCAGCTGCGGCAGCTGCGCACGGCAGCAGGCGCGCTGGCTGGCCACAGGCCGTTCTCCAGCCTGACGGGCACCCTGATGACCCAGCAGGCGGAGCAGTACGACCCGATCTTCGCTGCCACGACGCCCCTCCTCACGCGGTACGCGGACTGGTGGTGGGAGGGCCGTGCGTAAGCTTCCGCCATGCAGGCTACGTGGATGGCGGTGCATCGTGCCCCACTGAACGCCCATCGTGGGCGTGCGTCCGCGGACCCATTGGGGCCGTATGGCTCACCCTGCGCCGCATCGACTGGACCGTGGAGGCTGCGCACATCCTCCGTGACGATCAAGGTGCAGCGGTGTCGCTCTTGGCCACCCCGCCGCGAGATGTGCGGGACCTCCTGGTGGCCAGCATCAAGCGCTGGCAGTGCAGGCAGCTGGCGAGCTCGCTGCCCGAGGGCCAAGGCGAGGTGCTCTGGCCGCGGGCGGTGGGCGCATGTATCCGAGGGCCGAGAGCGGTCCAGGGGGCCAAGGCGCAAGGAGCCCTGCAGTGCCTCTGGTCCGGGGGCATGTGGCCCAGGGCTCGCAGGTATGCTCGCGGACTTTCCTCTTCGGCGCTGTGTGCCGCCTGCGGCGAGGCCCCAGAGACGCCGGGCCATCGCTGGTACTGTTGTCCGGGCCTCCTGGCCCCCGTGGACGATGAGGGGGAGGAGGAGGAAGAGGTCTTGCCCCCGAAGATCGCGGCGGCACGGCGGGTAGTCATACTCCAGCACGGCCAGGACGTGCAGGGGGACCACTGGGACTCGCTCGACCTCGCGCACGGCCTCCCCCGAAGCCGCCCGCCGGCGAGCTGCCCTCGCGGCCGTTGGATGCTGTCGTCTATGAGTGGGGCGACTCGACAGTGCCATGGGCGCGAGTGATGTACACGGACGGCTCGGCCTTTGCCAACGCCTCGGAGGAGCTGCGACAGTGCGGCTGGGCGGCCGTCATGATCAACGACCAGGGGTGGCCGGTGCGTGCCACCTTCGGCACGCTGCCTGGGCCTTGGCAGACCGCGGGACGAGCTGAGCGATATGCAGGTCTGCAGGCAGTGCGCGCCAACCCCTCGGTGGAGCTGATCGTTACCGATCTGCAGGGTTTCGCCATGGAAGGCAACAGCTGGCGCCCAGAGCTGGCGGGCTCGACGGGGCGGCACGCCAAGCTGTGGCGAGATCTCCGCAATGCTGTCGGAGACCGGCCCCCGCCCAGGTTCCAGTGGGTGCCCGCCCACAAGACGAGGGAGGACATCCTTGAGGACATCTCCCTGGACCCCATGCACTGGATCGGGAATAGGTGGGCCGACTGGTTCGCCAAGCTGGGGGTCCAGGACGCCCTGCTGCCTGCAGGGCTTGCGCGCGCCATTGAAGTCAGGATGCACCAAGCCGCGGCCAGGAGCAAGCTCATGGCATGGGCAGTGGGGCGCATCTCCTCCTGCGGGCAGTGGGACACAAGCGAACCAAATGTGGCCCCACGAGCTCCTGCTCGGCCACCGCCCCAGGTCAAGCTCATCGACCACGACTGCGTTCCCGACGGGCAGGGCGTCCGCTGCGCGCGCTGCAACGCCAGCGCCCACACCGAACCCAGCAAGCGCTGGCTGGACTGCCAGCCCTGCAGGGCGACGCCTCTGGCCCAGATGCAGGCGGCGGCGGCGGCGGCGGCGGCGGCCAGACCTTCCGCTTCTGAGTGGGGCCCTGCCGAAGGGGCCGCCAGTGCCGACCAGGAGATGGAGAGGGTTGGAGGGCAGCCGCAGGTGCAGGACCAGGCCCTGGACTCTGGCTTGTGCTCGAAGGTGGCCTACCTCCTACAGGCCGCTCGAGGCGACACGCGGGGGCGCCTGCCCCCGCAGGAGATCGCAGAGATGCGCAAGCAGATCACGGTGCGGCTCGAGGCCTGCCGAAGCCGTCGACGCCCTGCCGCGGCGGCCCCCGGCGCGGCCCCCGCCGTTCAGACAGCCTCCGCTCGGGGCGGCGGCGTTGACCTCATCGATGACGGTTCTGGCGAGGCCATGCTTGGGGCGTCCACGGCCCCCGCGGCCGACGGAGGCCGGCTGGCTGTCGGCGAGGCCGCAGCCTCAGACCATCCGCGCCACTCCAGTCCGGCCGCTGCGCTGGGCGGGGCCGCGGTCAGCTTCGCACTGGCGGCGGCGGCGGCGGCGGGATGCGCGCCCCGTCCACGTGGCGATGCAGGTGAGGAGCTCCCACCTTGGAAGGTAGCCGGAAAGGGCGAGGCTGCGGCGGAGGTGCCGCCCTCTGGTGAAGCGGGATGCGGGGCTAATGCAGGGCAGGCCGCAGATGCACGTGGAGAGCCTGGGCCTGCACCTGGCCGTGAGCGAGAGGGTCCCTGCCCTGGCTCCGGCGCTGGCGCGAGCAGCGGAGGTGGCTGCAAGAGCACGGACCCCGCGGCCGAAGCGCGGAAGCCGCCCTGCTGCGGGCCCCGCCGAAGGCGCACCGCCGCCGCTTCGTAAGGCCGCCAGGCATGCAGCGACGACGGGCCTGCTGCCCGGGCTTGGGGTGATGGCCGAGCGGCTGGCTGGCCGCGGGGAGGCTGAGCTGGCTCCTGCCGCCAGCCCGCCGAGGGGGGCTGAGGAATGGCAGGCCGCGCCGGCCTCAGCCGCTGCCGACGTGGACCGCAGCGTTGTTCTGAGTGATCGCTTTGGCGGGCCCGCGCCTGAGGCCGAGGGGGCGGCAGCGAGTTCGCTTGCGCCGAGTGCGGAGCTTTCTCCCTCCCTCGATCCTCCGCCTCCACCTCCTGCTGCTGCTGCGCCTGGCCTCGATGGTGGGGGTGGGCAGAGGGCGGGGGATGACGTAGTGACAGCGGACCAGGGCCATGAGTTGGTCGCCCGCGGCCCGTTCATCGTCTGCAGGAGGTGCGGGGCCTACGTGTCCGCGACCCGTGGCGCTCGACGGCTTGGCCAGGCCTGCTCTGGTCCGCTACCGCCCCTCAAGGAGTGCACGCCCGCGGAGCGTGGTCGGCGCGCCAGGCGGGAGCGGCTGCTCGGCGGAAAGCACCCCACCTCGGGTGCGAGCTTGGGCGCCTAGTCTCGGGGGGTCCCTGGGGGCTTCCGGGCGGGCCTGCGGGCTGCCTGGTGCGGGGGTTGCGCGGCCCTGCTGGGCTGCGGGGTGGGTCCTGGGTCTGGGTGCCTGGGCTCGCACCTGGGGTTATGAGCGGGCCCTAAGTGGCCTCTCAGCTCTGCCTGCGGGCAGGTTTCGTTCTTCGGCTCTTGAGTCGCGCCTGGGGGTCCCTCTAGGGGGCTTCATAGTGGCGGGGTGTTGCACCTAGGGGCTAGGTGCAAAGGTTATCGGCCCACGGTCAGTTTTTGCGAAGGCTGGACGTGGCGCGTCAGGGGAGTGACACGCACACACACACACACACACACACACACACACACACACACACACACACACACACACACACACACACACACACACACACACACACACACACACACACACACGCACACACGCACGCACGCACGCACGCACGCACGCACGCACGCCGCACGCACGCACGCACGCACGCACGCACGCACGCACGCACGCACGCACACGCACGCACGCACGCACGCACGCACGCGCGCGCGCGCGCGCGCGCGCGCGCGCGCGCGCGCGCGCACTGTTGTTGACGTCGCGTCCTACCGACCGACCTGCTCAGGAGGTGGGCGCTGGCCGTCCACCCGCGGTGATCCCGGGCCGAGATTTCGAGGAGCATCCATCTCTTCGCGTCCTTGTCTTGCCGCCCCCCTCCCTCGTCCTCCTCGCCCCCCTCCCCTTTCCTCGTCGGGTCCTCCTCCTCATCCTTCTCCTCTTCTTCCTCCTCCTCCTCCACTTTTGTATGACTCCCCCCTGTCGCACCCCCCGAGGCCAGTCGAAAGGGCGGGCCGGGCGTTTCGCCTGAGACGTCCTCACCATTTATGACCTTGCAGCTTAAACTTTGACAACTGCTTCACGTATGGAGGGCGGGCCGCTTCCAAAATGCGGCTCCCATCTTAGCGCCGCGCACACTCATCGTAAACATTTACAGGAGTTTCAGTTTCACGGATTGAAGGCGGGTGGTTTTCAAAATGTGGCTCTAGTTACAGCGCCACGCACATTCGTTTTCTGAAATTGCAAGGGTTACGGATTGGGTGCGGCTCCTTTTCAAAATGTGGTTTTTATTTTGGCGCCGTTCGTCTCAAACATGTGCAAGAGTATCGCGGATTCCCATGGTCAATGCACCAGAAATTGTTTTTGGTACCGATTCAGGCTTGTCAGGGCGCAACATCTATGTTGAT